GATGTATGTTAAAGGAAAGGGATTATGGAGTCATTTAGATGGTGTTTCTAAGGCACCGACGGAGAAAACTGGTTTAGATGCGTGGGAAACTAAAGATGCTCAAATCATCACTTGGATTCTCAACAGTATTGATCCTCACATGATCAATAACTTACGCTCTTTTTCAACTGCTCAAGAAATGTGGAATTATCTAAAGCGCATTTACAACCAGGGCAATTCGGCAAAACGTTTTCAGTTGGAGTTAGAAATAGCCAACTACAAACAAGGTGATTTGTCTATTCAAGAATACTATTCTGGTTTTTTAAATCTCTGGGCAGAACACTCTGCTATTATACATGCTAATGTTCCCAAGACCTCTCTCGCGGTTGTTCAAGAGATTTACAACACAAATGGTCGAGATCAATTTCTCATGAAATTATGCCCAGAATTTAAGGTTGTCAGAGGTGCCTTGCTGAATAGGAATCCTGTTCCTTCTTTAGATACATGTGTTGGAGAACTCCTAAGGGAGGAACAACGTCTTATTACTCAAGGAGCCATGTCTCATGATGCTACCATTTCCGAGCCCGTGATGGTTGCATATGCTGCTCAAAGTAAAGGTAAAAATCGTGATATGAAACAGGTTCAATGCTTCTCTTGCAAACAATTTGGTCATATTGCTCGTAGCTGCAATAAGAAGTTTTGTAATTACTGCAAGCAACAGGGTCATATTATCTCTGAGTGTCCCACACGTCCTCCACGACCAACACAACGTTCAGTACAGGCATTCCATGCAAATCATGCGGTTGGTCCTTCCACTAATGGGGCATCAAACGATAGTGCTATACAACCTGAATTGATTCAACAAATGGTACTTTCCGCTCTCTCGGCCTTGGGAATTCAGGGTAAGTCCTCTAATGTTTCTCGCCCATGGTTTCTTGATTCGGGTGCATCCAATCACATGACAGGTTCTTCACAGTATTTGAACAATTTACACTCTTATCATGGTAATCAGAAAATTCAAATAGCTGATGGTAATACTTTATTTATTACGGATATTGGCGACATCAACTCTGATTTTCGGGACGTGCTTGTATCACCTGGACTTGCGTCTAATTTATTATCTGTTGGTCAATTGGTAGATAAAAATTATGATGTTAACTTTTCTCGTGATGGTTGTCTTGTGCAGGAACAGGTGTCGGGGAGAGTGATCGCGAAGGGGCCTAAAGTGGGAAGACTGTTTCCACTCCAGTTTATTTCTAATCATATATCTCTTGCTTGTAATAAGGTTTTGAACTCTTATGAGGATTGGCATAGAAAATTAGGTCATCCAAACTCTGTTGTTTTGTCCCATTTATTTAAAAATGGTTTGTTGGGAAATAAAAATGTTTCTAATGCCTCTATTTCATGTTCTGTTTGCAAATTAGCTAAGAGTAAAACACTTCCTTTTCCGTCTGGTGCTTATCGTGCTTCCACTTGTTTTGAAATGATTCATAGTGGTGTATGGGGTATGTCTCCTGTAGTTTCTCATTCTCACTATAAATATTGTCACATTTATTGATGATTATAGTCGTTTTGTTTGGATATATTTCCTTCGGTCTAAATCTGAAGTGTTTTCTGTGTTTAAGAAATTTTTAACATATGTTGAAACTCAATTTCAAGCAAGTGTTAAAAAATTTCGCTCTGACTCTGGTGGTGAGTACATGTCTCATAAGTTTCAGGAATACCTTCAACAAAAAGGCATCTTGTCGCAACGATCTTGTCCCAATACCCCTCAACAAAATGGTATTGCAGAACGGAAGAGTCGTCATTTGCTTGATGTAACACGCACGTTGCTTCTCCAAGCTTCAGTACCATCCCGATTTTGGGTAGAAGCTCTTTCCACAGCTGTCTTCTTGATCAATCGTCTTCCTTCTACGGTTATTGAACTTGATTCTCCTTTCTTTCGTCTTTTTAAAATTCATCCTGATTATAGTGCTTTAAATACTTTTGGGTGTGTGTGTTTTGTTCACTTACCTCCTTTTGAAAGGCATAAGCTTGGAGCACAATCAGTTCAATGTGCATTTATGGGATATAGTCACTCTCATAAGGGATTTGTGTGTTATGATGTCACTAACCATCGTTTTCGCATTTCTAGAAATGTGACATTTTCTGATAATCAGTTTATGTTTCCCTGTGTTTCTCCTGCCATTAATGATATTGTTACTCTTCCTAAGTTTTCTATTATGCCTCAATCTATAGAACGTTATAAACCAGGTCATGTATATGTCAGAAAACACAGACAGCAGGTTCCCACACCCCTTCCCGACGCTGAACCGCCACCTGATCCTGTACCGGTTGAACCACGGTGTTCTGGTCGAATATCTCGTGCACCAGATAGATATTCACCAGACAGGTATGATTCCTCACATACTTCTCTGACTGCCACACTCTCTAGCATATCTATTCCTACTTGTTACTCACAGGCTGTTAAGGATGTGCGATGGATAAAAGCAATGAATGAAGAGCTTCAAGCTCTTTAAGAGAATTTCACATGGAATATTGTCTATTGCCCTCCCGATGTAAAACCTATAGGTTGCAAATAGGTGTATTCTGTGAAATTAAATTCTGATGGGTCCCTCAACCGTTACAAGGCTCGTTTGGTTGCGTTAGGAAACAAGCAGGAATATGGAATTGATTATGATGAGACATTTGCACCGGTTGCCAAAATGACAATTGTCCGCACGATCATCTCTATAGCTGCTTCTAGTGGTTGGACTCTTCATCAAATGGATGTGAAGAATGCTTTTCTTCATGGTGACCTGAGAGAAGATATTTATATGACTCCACCTCAAGGCTTATTCTCGTCATCTAAAGGCGTGTGTAAGCTCAAACGCTCCTTATATGGTTTGAAACAGGCACCTAGAGCATGGTACGAGAAATTCCGCTCCACTTTACTTGGATTCTCCTTTATTCAGAGTCAGTATGATTCATCTTTATTTATTCATAGCACATCTACGGGTATTGTTCTGCTTCTTTTATATGTTGATGATATGGTTATTACTGGTTCGGATCATGCTTCCATTCAGCGACTTAAGCAACAGTTACAAGCCTCATTTCACATGAAAGATCTGGGTAATCTACATTATTTTCTTGGTCTTGAGGTTCATTCTACATCCAAGGGCATCTTTCTCCATCAACACAAGTATGCTACATATTTGATTTCTATGGCCGGTCTAGAATCGACTAACCCGGTAGATACTCCTCTTGAGGTTAATGTTAAATATCATCGTGATGATGGTGATCTTTTGCCTGATCCCTTATTGTATCGACAACTTGTGGGCAGCCTCAACTACTTGACTATTACTCGCCCTGACATATCTTTTGCTGTTCAACAAGTAAGTCAATTCATGCATTCTCCTCGTCATCTTCACTTGGCTGCGGTTCGTCGTATAATTCGCTACTTAAAGGGAACCTCTCACCGCGGATTATTCTTTTCCGTTGGAATTTCTCTTCAGTTGAGTGCTTATAGTGATGCTGATTAGACAGGGTATCCTGATACTCGTCGATCTGTTACTGGTTGGTGCATGTTCATTTGTCCCACTGTCGCCTTGACCATCCTTCATTTAATGCCATAAGATAATATTGTCCAAGTGATATCATCTCTGGCAGCTAATTACAATCGAACAAGATTGGTTGCCAAAGGATTCACTCAAATTTATGGAGTAGATTTCTCCGAGACATTGACCATCCTTCATTTAAAGTCTTAAGATAATACTGTCTAAGTTATATTATGGCAGCTAATTACAATCGATCAAGATTGGTTGCCAAAGGGTTCACTCAAATTTATGGAATAGATTTTTTCGAGACATTTGCTCTAGTTACAAAAAATGAATATTGTCTAGGTGATATTATCTCTAGCAACTAATTACAATTAAAATTTACACTAATTTGATGTGAAATGTGTTTTTCCTTCGTGAAAACTTGAAGAAGAGATCTACATAAATGTACCTCCTCGATATCGTGAACATACTGCCGCCAACACGGTGTGCAAGTTAAAAAAGGCTTTATATGGACTAAAGCAATCACCACGAACATGGTTTGGAAGATTCATTAAAGTTGTCGTAGGTTTGAGTTTCAAACAAAGCCAAGGAGACCAATTGATCCAAGTGTAAGGCAAGATTAGTCCAATTGATCCAAGTACCCCAATTGATCCTAGTGTAAAGCAAGAGAACGCAAAAGAAGATGTTGTGGTTGATAAGAACGTGTCAAGATTAGTCCAAGAACTTATAGACCTATCACACATACCTATCACATACTAGACCCGATGTTGCTTTTGTTATAAGCTTAGTCAGTCAATTCATGCACCAACTAAAGGGAATTCATTTACAAGCTACGCTCTGAATTCTGATTTGAAAAAACTCCATGTAGAGGAATTTTGTCCGAACAGAATGGAAGTGTGAGTCATGAAGCATATATTGGTGTCAACTATGCAAGGTCAATAGTGGATAGGAGATCAACTAAAGAGTATTGAACACCTATAACTTCAAAAGAATTGTTTCTAAATTAGGAATGATAAATATCAATTCCCCCACTTGAGGCGGAGTATTGTAAATAATTAACTTTTACTATTGCTAGGTAAATTGTAAATGGATTTTTAATAGTCAGGCCCATTAGGTTAGAATAGTTTATATAAAAAGAAATTAGAACTTGTACATTAATCATACAAAAATATATAATATTCAGTTTTCACAATCGGCTTGAGAAGCATTGTTGATTTATAGAATGTAATAGTAATATTTATACTTATTTTTATATTGTACTACGTGGTCTATTAAACAAAATCCATTAAATTTAGAATTTGTTCTATTTAAATAAATTAGCTATTATATTGTAACATATTATTGAAATACATTTAAAACATTTTTCTACACATACACTGAACACACAGTACATCTTAGGATAATATTCAAATTTCTCCTAAAATCACAAACTGAAAAGTGAGGCAAAGTTGTTAAAAACTGCAATGAAGTAATCTAATCTTTTCACTTACCAGAGTGGTCCTAAAAGACAGTTTAAATAAGACAATGATCATAAGCTCTAATTAAATTATTTAGCAGAATAATATCAACTATTAATACCTCCGGTGCCATCCAGTACGGTGTTCCAACAACAGAATGAGTATTAACATCAGCCTCTGTTAATTTTGTTGCAACGCCAAAATCAGCAAGTTTGACAAGACCCTGAAAGAGGAAATTAAGAAGTATGAGAACTTTAATGCAAATTTTCTAGTCTAAAACAAAGAGAGGAGAAAAATCTAGAGTATGGAAAAATCAGGTGAGACTACTAGTGATGTGAAAGGAAGCCCGTGGTGGTGACACTATAATGCAAACATAAAGCAATTAGACGGAAAAAGTTGTTCATATTTCATAAACAAATAATTTATCACAAATAATTATAAAAGGTAGAGAGATGTTTGACTTCTATGAATCTCATGGATTCAAGAAGAGAGTGAAGAGAAACTCTAACCAATTATTTCTCTATTTTCAATATTATGAATTATGTTACAACTACACAGTGATAGATCTATAGAAGCTCGTAACAATAACTAATTTTCCGTTAGTTAGTTCCTAATATTTAGGATTTTCCGATAGTTAGTTCCTAATATTTAGGAGTTAGTTAAACAGAGGGAGGGATACTGTACAGTAGGTGGACATATGTAAGAGGATTTCAACTAACTGATTGTTAGTTGAACCTTATCCTCTAATAATAAGGGATAAGAAATCTCCAACAAAGACAACAAAAAGAAATAAAATAGACATAAAATGGCGGACTCCTAAATGAAAGTCAACGAACTGTCTGCCCCGCTCTTTTTTTGACGGGCTTAAGACGGGGCGGGCGGGCCGTTTTACCACCTCTATTTTAGATTACTAAGAACAACCATCTACATCCAAGTACAATGAATTATTTTTTTTGAAAAAGCAAAATGAATTCATTAAATAAAGGCATAAGGCATGCCTAAAGCCAAAACAATCTCAGATTACAAATTTCAGTACCCCGACATAACTGCAGACAGTACCAAAAACAAAGTCCCCTATCACAATTAATTCAGCCACCCCAAATACAAGAAAAATAACAAGACCACCAATACATACAAATTAATTGAGTACAACCAAAAGGAGAAACTGTATGATCTATAAGCAGATATAACTTAAGATATAGACATAGTAATGAAACTAATTTGCACGTACACAACTGTTAAAGAAAGTGTGGTTCGGCCTAACTCAACCTTACAAGACCAGCTTGTAGGGTAAAGATTGCACTCACTTATAAACACATGTGCAGGTCATGTATTGTCCGATGTGGAACTCTTAACACACTCCCACACGCCCAGAACTTGACATGTAGAGCATGAAAATAAATGGTAGGTGGCCCTATAGCAGAAACCTGATAATAGATGGCCCACCAGATCTTAAACGAGACTCTGATACCATATTAAACTTGTGATTATATGTAAAAAATAAGAGAAAAATATTATTGATAATTACTATTGACTTAATACAAAAGACTCAATATTAATCCCTATTTATAAGGATATATAGACTCAATCCTAAATTAAGAATAAATCTTGATGATAATAATAATAATGACTATAATTAAATATGATTCTAAGAGATACTCTAAGATACTTTAAATTAATAAAAAAAATATTATAAGATATTTTATAATATTCTAACACACCCCCTCAAGTTGAAGCTTACTAAGCTTTAAAGTTTATTACAAATTAACCTTAAAAATAAGCGATCAAACCAAACTAACTAATATCATAACCAAAGGAAAGAGCAAGAGCAACCAATAAAAAGAATAATCACAGAGAGAGAGAAGCAATAACAAAGAGAGAAGAAGTAGTTGTTGAAGAATTCAAAGAGAGAAACCAACTGAGGGAGAGGCATCCAAAGAGAGGGAAGAAACCAAACCAACAAGTCAAATCAAACCAAGTTAATTTGAATCAAATCAAACCGAACTAAACCAAACTGAATCAAATTAGATTAAATCGAACCAATCTAATCCAAGCCAAAGCCAAATCAAACTTAACTAATCCAAATTGAACCATACCAATTTGAACCAAATCACTGATACCATATCGAATAAATTTGAACCAAACATGCTGAAACGAACTAAACCAAATTGGATCAAGTCAGTTCAAATCGAACCAATTCAATTCAACCCAAACTAAACCAAACCAAATCGAACCGAACCAAACAGGACCAATCCAAATTGAATCAAACATACCAAAACGAACTAAATCAAACTGAGTCAAACCAGATCAAATTGAATCAATCTAATCCAATCCAAACAGAAATAACCAATACGGGGAGGAGTAACCAAGCATAAGAATCAATGAAGAGAGAAGCAATTAAATAAAGAACCAATAGGGAGAGAAGTAATCAAATAGAAAAGTCGTGGAGTGGGGATCAACCAAACAGAAGAACGAAACCAAACTAATCGAACAAAATCAAACCAAACATAATTAAACTAGACGAAACCAAACAAATCTAAATCACAAGAGAGATAGATAGGCGTGAAGGGTATGCATGACCAACACGAGAACCAATAGTGAGAGAATCAATCGAAGCCTTATATAAATCAATATCAATCAATCCTAATCTTCATGCAAACAAAAGTGGGAGACGATATGTCGAGAACAATTTAGCGATTCAACAAAAAGATTGTTTCTTCAAAAGAACTTATCATTAAAAAAAATCAAAACCACATCCTAAATATTTGTTTTTTTTTTGGGAATTAAAAAAAAAAACGAATAATTCAAGGATGATCGAAACAAATTCTAGATACCATGTTGAATTTGTGATTATGCAAAGCCCAAGTATGCAATAGAATCCTATGAAGCACAGACACCTCTAGAAAGAGGCGTGTCACGGTGTCCAACACTTGTATCACACCCATACAACACGGGTCAGATAAGTGTCGGAAAAGTCAAACAAGTGTCACCTAAAAAGATGATTTTTTCTTTGATTCGACATTCATTGAATTGGTGTCTAACACTCGTATGACATTCATACAACATGTGTTTCATAAAAAAATGTTTTTTTCTTTGCTTCAACACACCTTATACATTTCTTGAACAAATTTCACACACATTTAAAAAGGTTAAACATGTATCGAAACAATGTTATCAATAAAAAATTAAAGATATTAACAAAAAAATTAAAGATGTATCGAAACAATGTTATCAATAAAAAATTAAAGATTTTAATTTTGATTAAAATATTTTTAAATCTTTAAATAATAGATGAATAAATAAAACTCAAATACTACCGTATATGTAGTGGTGTCAGTATTCTATATTTTTTACATCATCAGTGTCGGAGTGTCTGTGTACGTGTGTCCTCGTGTCCGTGCTTGAGACAGAACCATAATAAAAGTTACCTCTTTAGTTGTCAATATATTTGCACCCTTAATATCACGATGGATAACACCTTGTTCGTGTAGGTAAACCAAGCCTTCCAAAACCTTTCACATCATATAATACTTTAGTATGAAATTCAAAAAACAGCCAGATCTTAGAAAGACTTCGATGAACAGTTAAGCCTACAAACCTGGGCAATATAAACTGCAACCAATGATTCTGGAAAGGGTCCAAATTTATTTGGCTTGATAATATTTGCAAGTGAGCCGTTCTCCACATACCTTCGAAATTGGAAACAATATGATACAAAATCCATTAACTACTATTAATACCCTTCAAATGACGCCACGTAAATCCATGATTAAATCTTCTATAACATTGTGAAAGAGTTGAGTTCACTTACTCAAGTACTATATGCAGGTGACTCTTTGTCTTCAAAGATCCAAGATACTTTACAATGTTTTTGTGGTTCAAATTCTGCAAAATAATCATCATTTAAAAAACATGGTATCTATTAGAATTTTATATTGGATCAAACTCATCATAACAAAATCAGCCTATAAAGTGAGTGGTGCCCCTCTATATAAACTCTAATCAGGCTTGTATCTTTTAACGTAGGACATGGGTTTTCCTAAAACGTCTCCTCACGCCCAAAAGCATTGAACTTGGTGCATGGATATAAATGGTGGGTAGCATTAACATGCTATGATATTACTTCCTGGAGAGACAGGGAGAGTGTCGAGAGCAATGGATCAATGCTTTGTGACCATAAAAGAAGGTGTGGCCATAAGAGAAGGAGCGGAAGTATTGGATCCTAGTATCGGAAGTCTCCAAGGCAGCGTAGCCAGAAGGTTTGTTTAGTTGGTAATAACAGCGGTGCAAGTATAGGATATGGGGATTGGGTTCAAGGTTAGTCACACATCAATTATGAGTAGATTAGATGTTGGATATATGAGATAGGTAACTCTTATACCTAATGCATTAAGATTTTAGGTGGAGATTAGGGTTTAGGGTTTAGGGTTTAGGTGGAGATGTGTTGTCTCCCTTTTTTGTGGACACTGCCCCGATCTCCCCGACAAGTATATCATATAATAAGCTCACTCATATTACAAGGCAACTTTGCCCCCCTAGTGATGTGCATGGGTTGGGTCAGTCAATTTTTAGACGGACCTGTTGCCGACCCTAAAGAAATTTCGTTGGATTGTGTTGGGTTAAAACATAGTTTTTTAAACTTTAAAAAAATATGTAATTAAATGACATTTTATTTTTTAGAACAAACATTACCCTAAGAGCTATCAAGCAAAAGAAAAATCAACCGATAATATAGTACAAATCTAACATTGATGAAAAGAATTACCTTTAACAAATCAATCTCTTGCTGGTAACATTTAAGCATCCATCCAATAACAGTATAGTCACATGTAAACAACACCCAAATTAGTGGTTAGAAAATATGCATTACAAAAAAAGCAACAATATAAGTGTGCTAGTTGTTTTATAAGTTGCAAATAAATTTTTGGAATTCAAGTGTGCTTCAAAAATCCCGGCATAGAAAGTAATGAACTAACAAAGGACCGTATAAGTGGAATTACCAATGTTAAACTCTTCATACCAATTAAAGTAATGATGATATTTTAATGGGGTCAATCTCTTGCATATAACTCCAAGAACTAACCAAAGTTTGGGATTTTGCAGGCCCTAAGACTTTAGGGTTTTCAAATTTCATACAATTTGCAAATAACTCCTAGTAATCTCACTTCAATTGCAAAACCCTAGTATGTCTCATTTCAATTAGAACCAAAATCAACTCCACCCTAACTATGTCACCAGATTCAGGACCTAACCATATATAATGTATAGCTACCTTAAAATTTAAAAAGAAAATAGATATTAAAATGCACTGTATACCATGATGATGTTGAGATCCTCCTGGGCAATATTCTCCAAAGAAACTTGCTTAATTGCAACAAAATCTCCATTCTCCAGGTCCAAACCTTTGTAAACTCGACCGTAAGCTCCTTTCCCAATCTCATCTCCCAGCATCTGCTCCAAAGCTCACATGTAAACAAAGCAATCAATCATTCAAAAATCAAACAATTAAACAAGCCAATCCCATATGCAATTTCAAAATAAAAACAACCCAGGATAAAAACCAAATATTTGCAAGTGATAGTCATACTCATGAATTACAAATACAATCAATCCTTCCAACTGAATTCCCTACAACACACTCTTCAACACTTAAAAAGTTTAACTAAAAATATGAGAGGTTTCAACTACTACACTAACAAAGTTTCTCCAACTTGAACAACAAAACCAACCTAAAAGCTTCCACTAATTGAATTTCAGTGCTCAATTTAAGAATTTAGAAAGGAACAATTTAGCAATATGGAGTTGAGAAAACAATTATAGAACAGCATTTCATTTCAATTACACAAAAATTTATTGAGATTGATGGAGAATGAGAGAGAAGGGTAAAAATGACGTACATATTTGTTGTCGAGGGTCTTGGATTTGGTGAAAGCGGAGCCCGTGGACTGGCGCGACATTTCAGCGAAACGATGATCGGAGAAAGCAAACCCTAGAGAGAGAAAATGAACATTCCGATTGGGAGCGACGGCCGAGAGAGACGTTGCTCCGATTGGATTAATTAACTAATTGTTTAATAATGACAAGTACTTATTTATCTATTCATCAATGTGTAATAAATAAAAAGTGAGTAAAAGAAGAAAATGTAGTAATTTGATTTTGATTTGACTATAATTATTTTTTAATTTTTAATAATAAAAAGTAAGAAAGTGTATACAATGTATGCTCTTAGTTGTAATTTATAAAAATGGAATGAAAGTACAAGTGCTTATCTTATCAAGGCTGTTAGCTGGCTGGCAATGTTGATATCTTTCTTTATTTACCTTTTTCTTTTTCTTTTAAGCTTAATAGGAAAAATATATCTTTATGGTAATATCACTTTTTAAAATACAATTAATCTACTCCATAATCCATTGTCATATTAGATTATATAAATTCAATCAATAAATAAAAAATATATCAATCTTTTTTTTAGCTTTTTTTTAAATAATTTTTATAGTTTTACATATTTTTGTTTGAATAAAATTTATAAAGAATTTAAAAAAATCATAAAAAGTTAGTATAAATAATTATTTTAAAATTTTATTTATATATCTTATCCTTTTATTATCATTATTTTTGGATTTTGTTTGACAAAAAATGATAATTTTTGGATATTAAACTTTAAATAATCAATTAAATTTGAAACAATTTTAAATAGTTTTTCAAAAAAATTATTTTAAAGATGTATTTTTTAAAAAATTATAATTTCAACTATGTTTTATGTTTTAATTTTTAATAATATATATTTATTTATATTACAATATGTTAAAATTAGTTTTTTAATTTAAAAAAAATTAAAATTATTTTTTAATTTTAAAAAAAATAAAATTATTTTTAATATTTTCAAATATTTTTTATAAAAATTATTTTTAAACATATAAAAAAATTAAGATAAAACTAATTGGACCTATATACCTTCAATCAATAAATAAAAAACTATCTATAACAAAAAAAATTGGAAGCGGCCAAGCAAATAAAAACAAGTAAAGTAATAAATAATAAAAACAAACATTCATATTCTAGTAATACTCTATTAATATTATAAAATAAAATGCAATTTAAAATATAGTATATATTTTTATATAATGACATATGATTTGAAAGGGAGAAAGTAATTATATTAATTATAAGTAAATAAAAAATCAATCTCTATATTTCATAATGTATTACTTAATTGATCTTTTTAAACAAAATAAAATCTAAATTAAATATATATAATATAAAAAAAAAGTAATTATTCATATCAAAAATATAAAATATAAAATAAATATTAAATTTAAAGTGGTGTGTAATATTAATTGTATGATAAACTTAAAATAATGTATAATTACCTACCAAATAGAGAATTTTTGTGGCAATATTATATTTGTGAAAATTATCTTATTTAGAATAATTTTTCTTTATAACATATTTAAAATTATTAGATTTTATTTGAATTATTAGATTTTATTTCCATATAAAAAAATTTATAAAGATAATTTTATATGTGATTAATATTTATGTACTAATGATATAAAATCTTTTTATATATACATCTAATAAAATCATATCAAATAGATATTAGTTAACATATTTTTTTAACTAAATTAAAATATTTATCATATAATCATCTTATTTGATGTATGTAAAATATTATCTGTGCATAAATATTAATCGTATTTTGTATTCTTTTTAATTATTAATTATTAGTTTTATTTAAATCAAAAAAATACAAACAAAAAAAACTTAAATTAAAAGCGATGATATTCTTTTGAGTTTACTTGTTTTTAATTAGTCTTCATAGTCATAGTCTTATGGTTTTATTGGATAGATATTACGGTTGAAATTATGTGAATTTATTAATCTATTTCATGGTTGTTTTACACACCACGTGAAATTCTATAAATACTCTTCAAAATCAAAAGTATATTTTTGGTACGTTCTTAGATCTGATAAAGTATACATAGAAATTGGAAATTTAATTTCAGTTTAGAATCGGAGGTGTACTTTCAGTACCATCTTTTGTATTTTGAAGGATAAAACCACATTTGGCATGTTTTATACATAATATGGTGTGAATCAGAAATACATTCCCGATTTTCCAAGGGGCAATTTCGAAATTACATAGGATATCCCTTTTTCAATAGAATAAGAAATTTCTAAATATTATACTTCCCCCTTCCAATATTTATTAATTAATTAATAATATTGGCCAATAGAAAAATAAAAATAAAATACTATCTTTTTAATTTAATAATTAAATTTAAGATATATAGAAATTTATATGATATTATATCACAATCTCAAAAAAAAATTCTTAATTTGTCAGTTCAAATATAACCTAATAATTTAAAATAGTTGTATATATTAAATAAATTTCGATATTATAAATATAAAATAATATTTAAAAAAATATTTCACCAATATCATAATTGTTTTGAACTAGACCAACGGTTGGCCCAATCCACTCGTGTCTAGGACGTCTCAAAAGATGTTGGCCCAATCCATCAAGAGCCAGCAGAAAGCACACCTCTTGTGTGCCCCTATCACGGGGACACGTGGCCAAGATGTCGCACATCTCACTTGACTGGTCATGGGCATCTCTGCCCGCGATAACGGCTAGTTTCTTGCAGCTTCTCAGCATAACAGGCACGAGTTGTTCGTTCCTGCTTTCACGTAGAAATCTTGGCAGTTACTTATTTTTGGATCAAATATTCAGGCCTAAAAATAAGAATTAGTGGCCAAGCGTTAGGAGTATTATAAAAAGCCTCACACTTGTGAGGGTCAGATAACTTAATTCTTAATCTTTTTTTCTCATGTATCTTTTCGCTCTTACTTACTTGAGCATCAGAGTATCTTGCAGGTACATCCCCTCCTATGTGGTTTCAGCACCACGGATTGTGTTATCGATCCATTACAGGTTTTGATCACCGATAAGATCAGATGATGACTCTATACTGAGGGCTCTGATTCTTATCACAAATCTCTGGAATGCTTAATATGTTAGACATTAGAGGGAACTTTATTATAATGAATAATCATTGCCAAAGATGAGAAGCAAATGGACAAAAGAAGAAAATATGCTTAGAATATTTTTGCTGCAATTTGCATAGGATGCACATCAAAGGAAGAGGTCAGCCTCTCAAGACTAGATTTTCATTTGTTGGCAACCTATTATGGAAAAGTCTTTATACTATGAAAGTCTTAGAAGGAGGAATATCATAATTCCAAATATGCTTAGTCTAAGAGTGAAATGAGGTGGTAACTAACTTGAATCTGAAGACATATTTTAAGGTTAGCTCACCAGAACTAGAGTGAATCCATACATTATTGTCATCAATATTTTTCATAGGAATAATAACTTGAGCAACAAGCAATTCAAATTAGGCACTTTACTGATCACATGATTAGGGAAGTCTCAAGATCTCAAAAATAATGGTCTAAGTGTTAATATCCTCTTGATCTTGAATGAGGTTCACAAGAGGATGCCCACACCAAAAATCAAGCTAGAAGTTTGTGTTTGTATATTAGTTATATAAATTGAATTATATTTAGTATGGTAAATGCAAAATAAAATTTAGGGTGCGTTTAATTTGCAAAATAAGAAGTATTGGACAAAACAGTATTATACAATACAAAACACTACAAGACAATTTTTTATGTTGTACTGTATTCGATGGTCGATGCATTGGACAAATTTTTTCTCTATTTTATTTGATATGTCTATACACCTCATAAAATGATATAAATTACTATAATATTATTTATTTATAATTAATATTTATAAATAAAAAATATTAAATAATAATAAGAAGAAAAATGTACTCTGTTTAATATGTTTATGCCTTAAACAAAAATAATATAATTTTTACTATGTAATATCTTTTATTGTTATATAAAATATTAATATTTATGAATTGAGATATTAAATAACGAGCAAGACTACAAAAAAAGATGAAGAGAGATATTTTTTTTACTTTACTTTGTTTGATATGTCGATGCACTAGACAAAAATAATATAATTTTTACTATAATACTTCTCTGTCTCAAAATAATTATTATAGTTGACACTTTCATAGAGATTAAGTCACAATAAATGAAAGAGAGAGAATAATAATTTTACCAAATTATCATTATCAACTATTGATGTATTCAAGTTAGCATTAATGTTAAGTGATAAAACAATAAAGTAAGAGTATTTATTAGAGGGTATAATTGGAAGATTAAAAATAAAACTGCATTGGTAATGTAAAATAACAAGTATTTTGGGACAAATGATTTTTCTAAACGTGACAATTATTTTGGAATGGAGAAAGTATTATTTATTGATATAAGAAATATTAATATTATATTTATGAATCAAAATATTAAATAATGAAAACTATATTTATGAATTAATATATTATATAGAGAGAAAGTAAAAATTATATTTTTGATATTTTTTAAATAATTTGTGTTTGGAACAAAAGTTGTCTCATGATTTAGTGAGGGACAATAATACATATTTTTGTCCAGTTCTTTACCATATATTTTATCCAATCTCATAATTAATTTATGCATCAAACATGACACTAAAAAAGTTATTTTGTCCGGTCCTTTATTTTTTAACAAATCAAACGCACTCTTAAAATACTATTTCATCTATTTCATAATAAATATCACAATTATTTAAAAAATTGTACAAATAAAATTATTATTTCAATGAAAAACTACGCTTTTCAATTATATCTATAATTAATATTTTGTGAAAATACCTAAATCTATTACAATCAATTTTATATTTATAATAATAAATATTTTGTTTGATTACAACTTAGGTCTTTGTCTTATTTTACTCGTAGTCTTTCTATTTCAAATTCAGACATATTTAATTATTTTTAACATTTTTGTTCAAAAAATTGATTTTGTTTTTGTATCGGAATATTCGTAAAAGAGTTTT